ATTTTGAATCCTGGAATCATCATACTTGAAGAATGGATTTTGGTTAGATCTGAAAGAGAACAGAATTCCTATGTTATTGACATGAATCATAACATTCCCGAGCAATTCACTTGTCTTTTCTCAAAAGTCTCAAAACACAATGCAATGCTTTGGTATCATCGTCTCAGCCATTCTAATACGAAGAGCCTCAATTGTCTTGCTAAAAATAACATTGTGCGTGGTATTCCAGTCAAGGACTCCATAAATTTTGAAAAGTCGGTGGCGTGTGATTAGGGAAAGCATCATCGCAAGCCACATTTTCCAAAGATGGTCAATTCAATCAGCAAGGTTCTTCAATTGTTGCATATGGATTTGTTTGGTCCAGTCAACGTTCTCAGTGTCAACAAGAACTCTTATTGTCTTGTTGTGATTGATGATTACACTCATTTCATATGGGTCTTCTTTCTATCCAACAAGAGTAGGATTGCTGGCTTGATCAAGAAGTTCATTGTGATGATTGAGAATCAGACAAATGAAAAGGTAAAGGCGCTTCGAACTGATAATAGCACAAAGTACAAGAATGCAGTTCTTGATTACTTCTGTGCAAAAAAGGGAATATTACGTCAATACAGTTCTTTTCGGACACCACAACAAAACAGTGTTATAGAACGAAGAAATCGTACTCTGATGGACACTGAAAAGATGATGCTTTGTGATTCCAAGTTGTCGGTCTTCTTCTAGGCTGAAACGATCAACACGGCTTGCTCTGTGCATAACCGTGTTCTGATCAATAAATCTCGAATGAAGACCCTGTATGAAATTCTATATAAACACAAACAATCGGTTGCTCATTTCAGAATATTTGGATGTCCTTGCACCCTTCTTTACCTCGAATCCAACCCTAAGTTCAACTCAAAGGCCGATGACTGCTATTTTGTGGGATACGCCGCACACACCGCTTACTGAGTATATAACAAAGCCAGCAAGAAAATTGTGGAATTTTATGACGTGCGTTGGCTGGAGGAGAATGAGATAGATGAAAGAGTTGGATCTGATTGGATATTTGATTATGCATCATTGTTTAAATCTTTTAATGTGTACTCTGATAATGTTTTAGGTTCCTATTCACGTTCAAGTACAGTTGTTGAGTATGAAGAGGAAGATGTTGTGTACACGCCACCCCTGGTGACTCCCGCATCACCTATAGTGGATGAAGTTGCTCCTAGTACTTCCTCAAGTTCTCCAAGTCAAAGAATTCCATCTGATGCTGAAGCCACACCCTTACTCCTATTGAAAGAGAATTCATGTCAAGGGATACTTCCGTTGCCACTCAATGGTTCATGGAGCGTCTCTTTCCTGAACCGATTTAAAATGAATGCTTGGCGAGTACCTCTCACGATCCTAGATCATCTAAGGTGAGTTATTCATCTGAAGATAGATTCTTCAATATTAACACACTTCCAGTCTCAGTCGATGATATCATCCATGAAATCCCAACCAGAATTCAACACGATCATCCGATTGAAAATGTCATCGACCCATTGGGAGAAAGCGTTAAAATGAGAAATTAGAGTGGAGATGTCAATACATGTCTCTATTCTTGCTTTATCTCTCAGATTGAGCCCAATAGTGTAGTAAAGGCGTTAAATGAACTAATTTGGGTTGATGCGATGCACGAAGAGTTAAATCAATTTGAAAAACTCAATGTTTGGAAGCTAGTTGATTTACCAAAGGGCAACAAGTCTTTAGACACGTGTTGGGCTTTTACAAATAAGCAAGACGATTCCGAGGTGATTGTGAACAATAAGGCTCGATTGGTCATTCGTGGATTCAGGCAGATAGAGGGTCTAGACTACACAGACGTATATGCTCTGGTTGCACGTTTGGAAGCCATTTGTATATTCCTTGCATATGCTTCATACATGAACTTTACTATTTATCAGATGGATGTCAAGACCGCCTTCTTGTACGGAGCTACGAAGGAGGAAATTTATGTTGATCAACCTCCTTGCTTTATCATTTCCAAGTTTCTGAATCATGTTTACAAGTTAGATAAAGCTCTATATGGGTTGCATCAGGCCCCCAGAGCTTGGTATGTAACTCTTACAGAGCACTTGCTTGCGTATGGGTATACATGGGGAACGATCGATTAAACCTTATCCATCAAGCATGTGGGTGCAGACCTGATTCTTGTACAAATCTATGTGGATGACATCATTTTCGAGTCGTCAAGTTCCAAGCTGTGCAAAGAGTTTGAAACTTTCATGAAGAAAAGATTTCAGATGAGTTCGTTGGGTGAAATGACCATGTTCGTAGGGCTTAAAATTCGACAAGATTTAGCTGGAATCTTGTTACATCAAGACAAATACGTTGAAGAATGCTGGAGAAGTTTGGATTTAAATATTTAAGGATTGCTTTGACTCTAATGGTTGAAAGACCATTGTTGTCTCCCGACCCTGAGGGGGAGCCAGTTAACCAAACACACGACCGCTTGATGATTGGTTCCCTGATGTATCTAACGGCTAGCAGACCCGTTATCAGGCTCATCCTAAACTTTCTCATTTAATTGTTGTCAAAAGGATTTTTAGGTATCTTAAAGGTATCCCTAAATTGGGTCTTTGGTATCCTAAAAATCCCAATTTCGATTTATATGCATTTGCTGACAGTAACTATGGAGGATGTGAGCTTGACAGGAAATCAACATTGGGAGGGTGTTAATTTTTAGGAACCGGTTGGTGTCTTGGCAGTGTAAGAAACAACAAACCGTGCCAACATCAACAGTTGTGGCTGAATATGTTTCTGCCTCTGGACGCTGCTCCCAAGTAATCTGGATTCAACACCAACTTCTAGACTATGGTTTGAATTTTCAAGAAACTCCAATATTTTGTGGCAATGATGTTGCCATCAAAATTGCTAAATATTCAGTCCAACACTCCAAAACCAAGCACATCGACATCAAGGTTCATTTTATTCGAGATTGTTAAGAGCGCTCACTCATTCGTTTGGAACAAATCCACACTGATAACAATGTGGCGGACCTGTTTACCAAACCATTCAACAAATCTTGATTCGATGTGCTTGTGAACTTTCTTAAAATGATACGTTTTGAAGACTAATTTTTTTAGGATAGACTTTATTAGTTTAAATTTTCACATATTATTTCTTTTCTTTCCTATGCCCAAATTTAGCAGGAGAAATAAAAATACAAAAAAAAAATATTATAAAACAAAAACTCAAAAATATTGTCTCATGATGGTTCGTTTGTAGGTGCTTATTTAGGAAGTGATATCAAGCAAGTGATAACGGCCAATTTTAAGTTCTATAAAGTACTGAATCTGAATTGTCTAGGCTCTATGTTCAATGCGTTGGTAAACACGAAAGATTCAGAAGGACTAGAAATAGATTGACAATTGAAAGGACTTGACTTTCTGGACCTAAGTAGTTCCGTTTGGTCTGACAATACGACACTCGGGTAGATTGAGCAATGATATATACATGGGAACTTGTGGGATACACAAAAGTAATATGGATCTAGAATTGTGGATTAACGTTTCCACGATGTATGGTCTTATGTCCTTATTTTCGGTACTAATAGGGCGATTGGGGAATTCCGTAAAGTAGGTTTGTAGAAGATTATTTTCATGATTTCTTTCTATCAGTCATATGTTGCCTCTTCTCCATGATTGGAAGATATCCAACCAGGACTGCAACATATGCAACTCTATCTCTATGCATCTTCTTCTATATGCAATTCTTTCTGTCTATTAGTCATATGTTGTCTCCTTTGTGTGATAAGAATTTATCCAAACTGGAACACAACATATGCAACATTCTATTTCTCAATCCCTCTAATTCAGCTAGTCATATGTTTTCCCTCTACGTGATTAGAAGAGATCCGACCTGGGAATATGACATATGCATTTCTAAATTTATCTTCTTCCTCAATAATTGTCTGCTCATCTAAAGTAAGGAGTACTTTGGAAGTTATTGATTACTGGGGTGTATCAGGAAGTGGCAAAGATATTCTAGTACATCTAAAATTGAACATTTAATAGGTTGTATGTAGACCTCACCACTAAATTTAAGTGGACAACAATATCCTCGGTCATCATTAGCCAAATGGTCCCTTTAGGAATATTATTTGGGTATATAGGGTCCAAAAAGACTTTTCACTTATAATTTTTCAAATATTGTGACAATCTATCGTGTTTAAGTGGACCACACTATCGACGATTGACCAGATCTATTCTTGAAGATGAAGGTACTGAAAAATAGGTTAAGGTTGTCTCTAAACTTTGATCCCAAAATTATAAATTTTGAAATGGTGCAAAAGCTATTAGAGTTATTTTATTTTATTTTATTTTATTTTTCATTTTTTATTATTTTCAAAAAATTTTAAAAATATTAGTTTGAATTTAATTTTTTAGATATTATTTTATTTTTATTTAATTTTAATTCTTATGTCTTCAAAATGTTTTTTATTTTAATTAAAATTGGATATATTGGGATTTGACTTAAAGCTTTTGGTTTACAGCCCATGGGTTTTGGGCCGGAATTTGTATAAGGTATTTAAGGGAGGATTTACGACTGAAAACTCCACTTACCTCATCCTATAGTTTACAGTTGAAAACTCTTCCTCCCTTTTTCTCTCAAGTTCTGACATCGATTCATCATTTGTTTGTGTTTATATCTGAAATTGAACCTCGATTCCTCAAGGTATATCGATTGCGAAGCCCACACTGTCAAATCTAACTCGATTTGATCATATTTTGCAGGTTATGGAAGCCAAAACATGTTCTTCGTCGAACTGGGAACGTTTACAGCCGTAAACTCGTTTACAGTTGTAGACCCGTTTACAGCCGTAAAACCTGTTTATAGTTGTAAACTTGCTTGCAACTATATACCAATTTCTCATTTGAATCAAAATTAATTTAGGGCCCAATCAACTTGTAATTGAGAAAATTTATTTTTAATTGCTTAAATTCTCTATTTTCTCACTTGGCTTGTTTGATGTAGATCAAATGGCTAACTTGAATTTTTCTGAGAGCCACAAGATTGTTACATACTTATTCGATCCTCCAGTGGGACATCAAGAGTTTAGTTCCATGGTTCATGGACTTAGAAATTGCAAACTTTCTCATGCTTTTCAATCGAATCCCATCATTTATCAGGAGTTAGTAAGGCAATTTTGGGACAAGGCTTCATTTAATGAAGGAGAAAATGGAGAAATCACAGTGGAATCCGTTATCCAAGTAAGAAAGATTGTGGTGTCTGAACAGATTATTCGCAAAGTGCTACTATTTAAGGACCAGCAAGGATTTCCAATTGAAATTCCTATGGATAAGACCGAAGAGATTCTTCATAGAATGGGCTATGAAGAAGTGTTACCTCCTACATTAGAGAAGTTGTTGCCACCGTATTAGCGTTTTCTTGCTCACTCCTTTGTGATTTGCATCTCTGGCAGGATAACAAGTGTTGATGAAATTTCCCTACTGAACATTGGCACCATCGCTCCTCTAGTTATGGATCTTGAATTCAATTTTTCAAGATATGTGTTGAATGAAATGAAGAACAATTTACAAGAGAAAAGGAAGGACAAATTTTTAATGTATCCAAGGTTTCTTCAGATGATCTTTGACAATCAATATCCAGATATAGAAAGGAAAGGTCAATCCTTGGATTTGAAGTCTCTGGGTGCAAACACATTTTGTCTAATGAAGCAAAACCGCAAAGGTACAAAATTTGTGTTTCACGGAAAGCACCCGCTGGAGAAGTTTAGTTAGTTTATTGAGATTAGTGAAGCCTCTAAATCAGAATGTACCTCAAATGATGAAGATGATGATGTCACTGTTTTTGATCATGAAGAAGATGTTCCTCCTGTCGAAATTGTTTCATAGGAACATGTGTTAGTGACTAATGTAGATGACAATGATGATGATTGTAATGATGAAGGTGATGATGAGATAGTTCAAGAGGATATTGTATTATATATGTTGATGATGAGGAGGATGATGATGGAGCTGAAATGGTTCATGGTGATGATTTATCAGGTTTTGATAATGATGATCTATGCTTTGATTTCGAGCAGAGTATTGATTTCAAGCCAAGCAATAATGACCTGAATTCGTTTTTTGATGACATCAGTGATGTTGTAAATCCTTCAACGGAGACTGGGGAAGATTTTAATGTTCTTAAAGTGACACCTCCAACAACTGATTAGATGGCCGATGTTATTGCTAATCTGGATTCTACTACGAGGATTCCTCCCCGAGCAGATGCTACTCTAGCCATTACGCCATCTAAGAGTGATATTCATGAGACACAATCCTCCTATCCTCCACTTAAAAGGAGAAGAGTCGATCTAAGGTCGGGAGTATTTATCAGGGAACAAGCTCACGAAATTCAATAGTCTGTTGTAGTCGATACTCCACCCCAAGCAACCCATTCTGACAGCCAAATAGTATATGAAGAGCCCAACATTGTTCGCTCATTTTTTTTAAAGTCGAGAGTTCTTCAGCTCCTGGTGGCTCATCAACACCCCAACCTGTGCATGATGTTGCCTCGGAGAGGCTTTCCAGGTTCTTAGCTCAACAGGATTTTGACCCTGCACCCCCAGACGAAGGGATGTCTATTGGTGCAGGGAGTTCCGGGGGAGTTGATCCATTAATTTTTGAGCTCCAAGCAAAGATTATTATTTTAAACCAGAAGATCATTGAGAAAGATGTTTTCATAGGAATTCTAGACGTTAGATTTTCTGATTTTGAAAATGAAAACCTTGAAAAATCACAACGAATTTCAGCTCTGCAACTCAATCTTGGTGCTCTCTCTGCTGGATACTTAGATATGAAGAACAAGGTAATAAGTAAATTTGGCAAAAAATTCAAATAATCCAATGGAGAGACTAGTGTGGCCATGACTCCTCTCAGTGCCCCTTCCCAAGCATCTCAACAAGATCCACTTGATGATCCTCCACCTATCAGAACCACTCGTATTATTGATCGCTTTGAAGTCAAACCTGCTCAAGCTATTCCCAGAGTTACTCTGAAGCTTGCCCATAAGCGAGTCTCTACTCAAAAGAAGGGGAAATGGCTCTTCATGAAGAATTCTAACAAGAATGTTTGTGCAGACCAGCCTCAGTTGATCGTGACTGATCTCGAAAAGAAGCGGTTCAGAACTAAATATGGCAACCGGTCAAGAATTCTGATGTAGGGATTTCATGATAAATTAAATATTTGGGGTGGTAAAAAAAAGAGCGGAAACTTGGAATACTATCGGCACAAGAATGACTTTGGTTCTTGGACAAAAGTAGATCTTACTGAACTTGCTAATGCTCCCTTCCACAACCCATCAAATGATCCTCGAGGGAGTGACTTCAAACTCTTTTTAGAGAATCAAGTAAAGAGGGTGTTTGATGGAATGAAGACAACATAATCTTTTGTGAAGAAAGCCAAAGATGTTCTTGACCCAAAAACCAACAAAGCCATGAAAACTGTGATGTGGCCTCCTACAAAGCAAATGAAAAAAATTCGCATTATTCAGCATTTCCGTGATGGATCTCTTCATGGTATGGAATATTGGGTTTTTGAAGAGGCTACAACCACTTCTGTAATAAAATTCCCAACTGGTGTCTTTCATGTTGTTGAGGCAAAGGATCTCCTACAGTTTGGTGAATGTGACATTCACACTTTGTCTCAAAATCAAATCATGGTCAAGAATGAGATTCTCGAGTCTGCTGCTAAAGAGTTTAATAGTATGATCGCTGAGATTATTAACAAGAAGATATGGTTGGGGGCCATGGGAAGATCTGAAGTGGTGATCATTGAGAAAGATTGAGTTAATGCTTGCCTCAAACCAAAGGGGAGACTGTTAGGTCATGTTTAGTTGGTTTGAGTTAGGCATTCATTTGTATGAGTTGTGTTAGTATTTATGCATGTGTTTGTATGGGTTTACGGTTGGGTGGTGTTTACATTCTGTATGGTGTTTATGGTTGTAAACGGGTTTACATCTATAAACGGGTTTATGGCTGTAAACGTGTTAGTAGCTTCTGTTCCCTATAAATAATGTTAGTAGATATTAGATGGTAGTAGTAGTTTACGATCAAGTGTGTGTGTTTTGAGTCCATTGTACCCAACATTTTCAGCTGATATAAATGTGTGCAATTTGAATTGGATCAATCTTGCTTCTACTCCTAATTATTCTTATCATTATGGCTTGTTCATTATGTTGATCACTAGTTGCTTCTTAGTTTTTGGGGACTTACATACTATCTCTTGGATGTAGGTTCTAGTTAGTCTCCCCATTTTATATGTTTCTTTGATTGGCAGGAAGTGGGCAGACTTGGTCAGTCTGTCAACGATTATCCAAATAGTGTCGTGATCATGCGAGGTCTTGGGCAATTTGGTGATGAAGTCCATTGTGATTCGTTCCCACTTCTACTCAAGTATTTCTGGCTGTTGGAGTAAACTTGAGGGCTTCTTATATTCTAACCTTTGATCTTGGCACAAGTTAGACACTTGCCAGCATAGGTAGCAATCTCAGCTTTTATGTTTGGCCACCAATAGAGTTTCTTGAGATCTAGATACATCTTGTCTGATCCTGGGTGAACAGATTATCGAGTCTTGTGGGATTCATTCATGACAACCTCCTTGTAACCGATTCATGAAATAATGAACTCTGTCTCCCTTGATCTCAAAGTTCTTGTCCATTCCTCGCAAAGTTTCACCTGTCACATTTTCGGGTTTTAAGGCTTCCAGCTGTGCTTCTTTGTTCTGGGTGGACAGATGGGAATGGATTGTCATTATCAGTGCCTTCACTCTGCGACCTGAGTATTATTTTTGGTTTAGGGCATCTGCTACTACGTTGGCTTTGTCGGGATGATAGCGTATCTCACACTCGTAATTATTGAGTAGTACTACCCATCGTTGCTATCTCATGTTAAGCTCCTTCTGATCAAAGATGTGTTTGAAGGCTTTTATGGTCGGTGAAGATAGTGCACTTGGTACCATAGAGGTAATGTCTCCATATTTATAGGGCAAAGACCATTGATCCTAACTCCAGATCGTGAGTTGTGTAGTTGACTCCGTGTGCCTAAAGTTGTCTCAAGTCATAAGCAATAAATTTTCCCCGCTGCATAAGTACATAGCCTAGCCCCTGACTGGATGCATCGCAATTTACCACAAAGTCTTTTGTCCTTCCTAGAAGAGACAGTATGGGCACGTTGCACAGGGCCTGTTTCAACATATGGAACACAGTGTCTTGGCTTTCTCCCCAACTAAAACTCACACCCTTTTGAGTCAGGGTGGTAAGCAGTTTAGCAATTATGGAGAAATTATGTCTAAATCTGCGATAGTAGCTAGCAAGACCCAAGAATTGATGGATTTCTGTGGGTGTTCTCAGTGCTGACCAATTATTAATTGCCTTTATCTTGGATAGGTCCACGTGTATTCCTTCTTTGATGACAACGTGACTTAAGAAAGTTATCTTTTTGATCCAAAACTCGCACTTAGATAATTTTGTGTATAGTTTCTTCATCCTCAATGTTCCTAGCACCAGTTTCAAGTGTTTTTTATGTTCTTCCTCACTTCATGAATAGACGAGTACCTCATTTATGAAAACTACCACAAATTTTTCTAGGAAGGGACGGCACACCCGATTCATTAAGTCGATGAGTACGGCAGGTGCATTGGTTAGACTAAAGGGCATAACTACAAACTCATAGTGACCATACCGAGTCCAAAACGTTGTCTTAGGAACATCGCTCTCCTAGAATCGTAGTTCATGGTACCATGATCTCATGTCTACCTTTGAAAATTAGCTAGCTCCTTGAAGTTGATCGAAGAGGTCATCGATTCTTGGTAGAGGGTAGTGATTCTTAATGGTGAGTTTGTTGAGCTCGCGATAGTCTATGCACATCTGGAAAGATCCATTTTTCTTCATCACGAAAAGACCGGTGCTCCCCAGGGTGAGAAGCTTGGTCTAATGAATCCCTTGCTAAACAGTTTGTTCAGCTGGCTAGATAATTCCTGCATTTCTGCCGGTGCTATACGGTAAGGGAATTTAGCTACAGAGGTAGCTCTGGGAATCAAGTTGATTCGGAATTCGACTTGGCGTTCGGGAGGAATTCCTGGAAGATCTTTGGAGAAGATATCAGGAAAGTTGCAGACTCCGGGGATGCTCTCGAGGTCTTTAACTTCTTGTTTTTCATTGACTACATGCGCCAAGAATGCGTGACACTCCTTTTGCATGTATTTTTGAGCTTTTATCCATGAAATGATACAAAGTTTTGTGTTGAGTTTATCGCCATAGATAACGAGGGCTTCACCGGTTGGCAGATTAAGGCGAATGGATTTTTCGTAGCAAAGGATATCAGCACTATTAGGGCTCAGCCAATCCATGCCGATGATGACATCGAAGCTTTTTATGGAAAATGGAATCAGATCGATTGGAAAGGAATGGTCATTTAGAGTGAGAGTGCATCCTATGAATACATTGTTAGTGATCTCTTTCTTTCCATTAGCCATCTTGATGGTGAATGCTTCGGTTAGTGGTTGAGATTTGTTTTTGAGTAGATGTTTAAATGCATGACTGATAAAACTCCTCTCGACACCACTATCAAAGAGAATACATGCATAAGAGTTGTCGGGGAGGAACATACCCGTGACTACAGTGGGATCAGTAACTGCCTCCTCCTGTCCCATTGCTAGTACTTTCCTCGTGTTTCCAGCAGTTGTTGCCTTAGGGAAATTCCTCTTGTAGTTCCTGGTTTCACTACAACCATAGCAGGCTTGGCCTATTCCAGCTCTAGGATCCTGATTGGTTGGTTGGACTTGTGCTTTGCAAAAACAGGTTGTGTGTCCCTTTCTGCTACAATTGGTGCATTGCATGTCACGACAAGGTCCATGATTATGGAAGTTACATTTGTTGCACCTTGGGAGGGTTCCAACATATCTACTAGTAGGTGCTTGAGTAGTGGGAGCAGCAGCAGGAATGGTAGCAACATGGATAGCCACGGTTTGCTACTTCTTGGAGGGCTCTTGCGATGATTGGCCCTTCCTTTTGTTTCAGAACTTCTTCTTCCCACCACTTTCTTTGGGTGGTCTGTGAGCAACGTGCACGGTTTCTTGACGATTCTCATGGTCTATCAATGCTTGAACTAGTCGTTTGACACTATCAAACATGAGTCGGTTGGCGGCTAATACATTTCCTTGTGTAAGGGGACTTAGTCCCCATATGACTCTCTGCACTTTCTTGCTCTCTGGGGTAACCATCCCGGGACAACGAACCAACGAGTTAATCCAATGACTCCTCCAGTGCCATCGAAGGATCGGGGTTTTGTGTTGGTGAAGTTTTTGTATGAACACTCCTTTGGGTGTCCATGACTTTCATCGAGGTTGGATGGGTTGGCACCATTACCCGCCCCGCTAGCGCCATGCGTGTTTATCCACGACATGGTGGTTGCCACAGTGGTTGTCATTGTTGCTTGGAAGACAACAGGATTGTATTGAGGAGGTGGCGGGGGCGTAGTTCTTAGAGGATTGTTGTTCTTTCAGTTGGACTTCTTCTTCGGTGGCATCTTTCTCTAAAATAATTTAAGAGAAAAATGAAGATAATTCCTCGATAGTGGTCATGAATGAAGTGATATTGAACAGTGTATATCTTATCCTGATAGTTATAGTGTTCTATCAAGTGATTTATAGTAGAAGTCTACTTAATACACGTAAAAAATCGCCATGAAATTATAGCAACACTTGGAATGAAATTGGTACGATGTGTTTTCCTTTAGTATAGTAGTGTTACCAAATACTCCTTTAGTATTTTAGTTTGTGTGCTTTTTTCTATCCTTCTCTTTTGTATGGAGTTTGGTAAGTTTTAGGCTTGTTGCAACACCA